TGCCAAGGAAAAACCCCGTATGAACCCTCAGACGTTGCCAAATTTCCTTCGGTAAATCACGAATTTCAGGGGAAATTTGTAAAAAATTTTCCTCGAATTTTTTAGATAATTTTTTTGCAAGTTCACCTAAAGTTCCTGAAATTTTTAAGGAAAAATATCCACAGCTCTGCTCAAAAATAAACATTTTATTGAAGGAAATTTGGCAACTCTCGAATGTTCATACGGCGTTTTTCCTTAGCACGGCAGTAATCAACCCAAGAAACAATAGAAAAGTGCGTCTTACGGGCACCGAATTTTCCTGTAGAGGGCTTCCTTGGGTGGAGGAAACCCCAAACCTCCTCTCTTTTTTCCGCATTTCGTCACTCCAAAGTTTCAGCCCACGAAAAAAAAACCGAGTAAAAATCCTCCTTACTCTCGGAAATTCGCGGGACGTCGAAACAATGCGAGGCCTCCTGACACAGAACTGCAGGCGGGAAAACGCGCGCGCGTGTTCGCATAGCAGTTTGCATAGCTCCGAATTCGTAGCGCGCCACCGCACCGGGTCCAGGCGTCCTCATGACACAGATAATCGATTACGTCGTTAAGTTTTATTGCTGCGCTCTTGTTTATAATGAGTCCTTTACTCGGATGAATCGATTACATCTTATTAGTTTATTCGGAGCTTTTTTAGAATTTGGCACGCTCGCACGTTAAGCTCGGCTGATTCAGGAAAATGACCCGCCTTTAGCGAACGTAACCGATTTAAAAATAACCGTAGTACTTTCACCGCGACCCCGGCAGCATTGATTGATAAATTGACTATTTCTGCCAAACGGAACTATGTGCATGCAGACATGAGCCTCGAGACACATAAGAATATATGCATAACAAGGCTCACGTCATAATGCACATGGTTCCGTTTGGCAGAGATACGTCCAAATGAAATGGAAGAGGCATGTCTGAGGGCCATAGCAAAGAAGAAAGGCCTCATTTCCTACAGGTAGTTATTGCACTATTGAAACTGACCCGCTGAACAATGGAGGTTTTCGCTTTGATTTTTTGCAATAACGACACGGAATCAAGGCAACAACGGGCCGATTATTAAAATTGATAGACAAAGCGATAGACAAAGAGGACATAGGGAGTACGGAGTGATCGTAGTGGTTGAAACGGGTGGTTCTTATAGGAGGGGGAAAATGATCGGCTAATTATAGGGTCTACTGTCGATTGCCGTTAGTTAGTCTATTATTTGACTCCTTTGTCCATTGCAGCCGACCGCTTTCACCAATAGGATCGCTCCATTCTCCCGATGTCCTCTTTGTCTATCGTTATGTCTATTTTTAATAATCAGTCGGCAGGTCAGATTTAGTTTCAATATAAGGTGAGTTGAATGTGAGTTGAATGGATTGCAATCGAGAAGAGAGTAAGTACTACAGCACGTGTTCTCTAGTCACGATTCAATACGTTCTAAGTGTGTGTCAGATTCTTTTTTCGATCAAACTGATAATTAGCATTGTTGTGAAACATTTCCCAAAATACATGAAAAAAACGAGCCAAAAAGAGTTGAGCCACAAACGCATTGTTAGCCAACGCAACGCGCGATGGATGCAACGCAGTAATGATGATAATGCCTTGATATACAACAAAATTCGTGCTAGAAAGATGTCCGTGTTGCATTTAGACGCAAATGAAGGCGTCTTTGCGGATCCTACTGAGGAGCGTATCCTCCTAGCGCTGCCGCGCCTAGGTCGCCGGCGAAAATCACGCTAGTAAATCCGGAATAGACGCCAAACGGTTCTCGTCACTATTGTTCCTTAATTGTATGCCCTTTATTGCTCACGGAGACACAACTCATCAGTAACTTGTATCTGTGTGTAGCTGGAGCACCTTCATTTTTAATACATCTAAACGAGTAAAAGTTGAATTAGGAGGGCTTTGCCATTATAATTGGAATTTTGTTTCGCACACTAGCTATGGATAGGTGCATTGCCTGGACTCTTTGGGAATGTACCGTTTTATTTTTCATAGTTTCTGCGTTTTTTAAGTTCCTCAAACATTGTAAGATTACTCACTTTCTAGCCTGTGAAGATTATTAAAGGACATTTTCTCTACTGTTGAAGACTATATATGTAAGGGAGCTGATGGGTGATGTAAGGGGGCTTCAGCCCTCGCAAGTTCATCTTGAAGTGACACCACTAAGCGAAGATTCACTGAAGCCTTCACAAAAGAGCCCTTCGTATCAAGCGTTTACTTCCATTTAAAAACACATTGATTTTTGAAAGATTTGAGTGAGCACGTGGTGAGGATAATTCTCGGTGCGAAACAACAATAGACTCGTGGGGCTCATGAATATTACAGAAGATGTGCCAAAAAGCCTCTAACAATACACGTAGTTACTAAAAAAGTTACAAAACAATCGAAAATTTTCCTCTGCCACAACCGTCGTGGAAATTATTTCCTCCACTGAAAAATTATGAAAACTTTTGGAAACGGCAACATCAGCAAATTTCATAACGATTGCTCATTCGTATCAATGACCCCATTTAGAGCTATTGTTAACGGTGTTGTGCTGATTTTTGGGAGTGGGGGAGGGCTTGCACAATACTATCTAAAATATTACAAAATCTTGCACTGTCCATTGTGCGGAAAACATCAATGCTCCAGTATTAGCTAATAAACAATTTGACGATTTTCAAAATAGCCACACGTTTAGATTTTCTAAAAAAGCTTTAACAAAAGGGCCCAATCGCTCAAAAATTGTTTAGGCCGTGAAAAGTATTATGTCGCGCATGGGGAAAAATGCCCAATGCCGCATTAGAATGGAGAAAATAGTTAGTTAGTATATTTTAAGACATTCAGCGCCACAGGCTATTAACGTCTTTACAGAGAATTTTGAAAATGGGAGTATATACGAAAATTTATATTTTTAAATTAAGAGAGGTGAAGAGTTTCAGAATTTTGGTAGTAATAGTGGGTTCATCGCATGTAAGCGGGTTTTTTGATCAAGTGGGAGAGCTTTTATGAATTTAATTTATTCATTTTAAGAGGGCTAAAAGCACTTGGAATTCGGGTAAGGGCACATTTTATTTGGACGCTCCATATTTCCCTTACGTATCCATGGGTGGAATCCTAACCTCAAAATCGGTTTTGACAAAAATTACTCCGGTTTTGGAGTAGGTGGGTCACCCACTTTAAGGCAACAGGTGAATTCGTAAGTGAAACAAGAAGAACTGTCAAAAGAATAGATGTTTTGTGATATTAAGGACAATTTACCCCGGTAAATGAAAAAAAAAATATATTAGAGTGTCTTTCTCTGGCTTTTAGTAGCTCTTGACGAATATCTCATGGATAGGAATAAACGAGTTGTAATGAAGTTAACAACTTCAGCCCCTGAATTTCAATATAAGCAGAAGGACAAGAGTGGGGAGAGTTTTTGGGAAGTTGGTTGCAGTTTAGTCTTAAAAGTCTCTTATCGATGGAAACTTTCCTCGCTTCGCAAAAAGTCAAAAGTTCGCGTCAAGTCGAACAATTTCAAAAATAAGTGCGTAACGACTTACGAGTGTTGTTTCTCTATCAAATTTTGAGATAAACGAATGAGAGAGCACTTTCATTGCAAAATTTCCTCACACTACGCTCGAATCACGGTTCGTCTGCTCGAGCGGCGGGTATCTCCTGCACCCTTTAATGGAGCGCCTTCAAATTCGACAGATGCAACTAAACGTACAGATGAGACCTGATCTTCACGGGACAGTTGTATGTACCGAAATTCGAATATTTCCACAAGGTAATGTTGACAGGCGCGACAAAATCTAATCAATCTCTTGCCTCATTACGAATGATTACGTTTTGACTACGAAGGCCGGGAGTCTAGGTGGAAAAGACTATTTGAATAATAGGGTGCTGTATGATTTTTATTGAAGTGAGAACGGATTGATTCAATCTCAATAAGGAGTTTTTAATCGCAATATAACTGACGCTTTCTCCTTTGGTGCCAATTGTTTTACCGCTTGAGCATATAAGAGGATTCTTGGTAGCTGATTGTTTTCCACATACATACATGTTGGTCACTTTATGGCACTCCCTCTCGCTCTACGACTCCTAACCTCCACTGCTGATTTTTTTCCAATTTTCAAAATAACTAGTGAGCAAAGTTTCTTATTTTTTCTATTTATTTATTTTTTTGGTAGGAGAGTTCTAATCAATTATCTTGAAGGAATTTTATGGTACGTCCCGAATTGATAGAAATGGAAATATTTTTCCCTCTCTGTACAACGAGCTTCTTTAACCTAGATCTTACCTAGTCATCCCAACTCTAACAACTTTTTAAGGCAAAACAATACATTTTCAGAGGAGTAAATAGAGTTTTCAAGCCGTTGGCATACTTTTCATCAATTTCAACAGTTTTCAAACAAAATTAACCCGCGTTGAATCGATTGCTCGGGCCCAACTGAACAATCCCCGCCATCATAACAGCTATAATTTTTCACTGAAAGGTACACTCATTCATTCAAATAAGAACTTATATTGGTTAGAAAAATAAGTTTAAAGGCGAAATTTTCACTTCATTGCCACGGAAAAATTTGTAAAATTAAATAGCTGACAGCAGTTTGACTCTTGACATCTTGTAATGATGACGACACTTAAAAGTAAAATTTCAGTACGAACACACCTACCTACCATCCAAATTCAAGGGTATAAGCGTATGATTTTTCCCATATTTACTCATGCTTTTTAGAATATGCTTGGAGAGCCACCGTTTAAACTGTAAATCACTCGTTTGTGGTGTTTCAAAATAACTACTCTTACTTCATTTGTCTAAAATCAACAATATTCTAGAAATTTTCGCAGAATTACTTTTTCACAGAGAAGAAAAATCACGGTAGTTCGGGAACACGTAAAAAATTAAGACTCAAAGAGAGGGGTACTTTTTCAGACCATCAGCAACGAAATGCTGTCACACGCGACTAAGAATTGAACACTTTCCTTAACTAGGTGGGTAAATGTTAGAAGGCAATAATCACATTTTAAGTATATTCCGCATGACAGTAAGTGGTCAGTGGTCCCACGCATATCAGCCGAATTCCTGCGAGCGCCGGGCGGTGCTGTGTGATAAGAGGCTGCTGTAATAACTTCAAAATGAAGACACAATAAACAATAGGTGTCCGCGAGAAAAATCAATCTATTACGAGATTATTAGTTTTTTACGACTGTCGGTAATCTGTCAAAAGCAAAAACGAAAAAATTATGAAAGAGGTTAATTCACGAATATTCTCTCATCGACGTAGAAGACTAGTTTTTTTTTATAAAAGGCGCCTGGTGTGAAGAGTCTAAGGATCCTCCTCAGAGTAAGTTTGGCATTCGGATGTCGAGAGCCCAAGTGAATAATTTTCATTCATCCAATTTTTGTTCAATTCCTGATGATTTTTTAGGAAATCAGCGACTGATTTTAAATTTTTTCGTAATTTCTACTGCTGGTGTAACCAAAAGACGTGAGTGAGTTTTGTTCTCTCGTTAAAAAACAAGGAGCTAAATAAAAGTAAATAAAAAATAGTTTCCATTTTATGCCTTTGTTCATTGGAAAACAAGCTTTAGCCGTTAACATGTGCCTGTCAATTGAATTTGAAAAGACGGATTTAAAGGGAAGTATTGTCAACATCGGAAACAATTTGTAACCGTTTACATTTTATTATAAAATGGAGAGAATAATAAAGAAGAAGAGCTTGAGAAGCGACTCATACATAAAAAAGGATAAAAATAATAGTATTAGAAAAGTATTAAAATGGGTCGAAAGAATATCAGTCGTATACGTGTGAGAAAAATCGAGCTATCCGCACTTGAGAGACAATGAAACATGTTTCTTATATTCCGAACCGCACGTGTGCTTTGAGTATCATTATATTGATAAATTAACGATTCGAAACATTTTTCGGAACACTTGATTTCACCAAAAAGGCCCTCCTCGTGAGAGCCCGATACAGTTGATCCATCGCGATTTTCCCGTTATCAAAACGAACTACAGCACATATACACCAAAAATTAGAATGAACCCTGAGGTCTGCAAAATTAAATTGGCGTAATCAAGAAATCGAAAAAACGAAGAACAGAAGAAAAAAAATTATGAAAAACTAGAACGGTAAATATCCCGCGACACGAGCACCTCGCGCAAACTAAAAGCGGCGAACACGAGAAAGACACCAAAAGAAACTGACAGAGACGCATAGACGCCAAGAGGGAGAGAGAAGACCGGGCGGGGATGGAAATAATGGGAAGAAGAAGAAGGCGAAATTAAATGTTAATGTTACACGATTTCGATTGAACAATTAAAAACGTTCGGGCCCGAGCTCGCGAGAGGTTTGCCAAACCCTGTCCGCAGGCGTGAGCCAAAAGGCACCCACGGAAATTATTACTCGAAATAGGTTTGATTTTGCGCGTTACGCGCTGAGGGGGGGGGGGAGAAGCAATGTCTCCCCCGTGATATTTTACAAAAATTGAGCTTCCGCGTCTCATTAGGTGGGCATCGAAGTCGCCGCGTATAGCGCTTCGTCATGGAAATTTGTCTGCGTCGCACAGTGGATCGAGTCAATCGGAGACGTCGGACATAACATTTTTGAATGAAACAACAAAATTTGATGTTTATTTTGTCACATTTGAAATTTGCGGGAGTGCTACTTGATGAAAATTTCACGAGAAAACCAACGGGACCAATTTTGGAACCCTAAAGTTTGTATAAACAGTTATGTAAGCGTTTAAAGTTTCCAAATTTTGCCCGACCTCTCCTATTGACTCGAATCCACTGTGCGTCGTCTCGCATGATGCACAAGTTTGGCCGATAATTGAGGGGCTTGGAGGAAAAGGCGCATAAGTGCATTTTTTGCTGTTTCGAGAAATACTTGTTTGAAGTTTCGAAATTACATGGATCTCTATGGCGGAAAGAAAGTTCGGACTGACTTTCCGCTCCTTAAAAATCGGAATTTGCGAGCAAGTTTCTCACAGAATATGCATTAAGATTAGTTCTACTTGAAATCATTAATAACTCATTTTTTTCAAAAGCTGCACTTATGCGCCTTTTCCTCCAAGCTCCTCGATTAGAGTCTCGATTATTCGCATTATATTGAGATTTATCCGCAGTCATTATGGAATGGTGTCCCTGAGTGATGAAAACCCTTAACGCATCATAAAGGCTGAATGTTTCGAGAGTCATATTTCATATTTGGACTGTATTTCGCAATAAAGAACGACCTACAATGTCTGGTTTATACGCGACAACACATATCTGCATAGGGAAGGCAATGGCTCATATGTTCTTTCTAAAATAAGCCAGATATTGTAGTTCCCAATTGCAATATAGTTCATTTATTCTGTATACCGCTAAAATTGTGACGGACGTGAAGCACATTTTTAAGGAGCGAAATCCCTGTTGCCACTTTCTTTCTCTCGACGTCACCAGTTGTATGTGAGGCAACACTGCCTTGCTAAGGAAGAACGCCGTATGAACATTCGAGAGTTTCCAAATTTCCCCGGATAAAACATGTATTTTTGACGAAATTTAAGCATAAGTTTCCTTGAAATTTTTAGATATTTTAGATTAAATTGCGAACAAAATAGTCTGAAAGATTGAAAGAAAAATATTTACGATTTCCCAAATAAATTCGTATTTTATCAGAGGACATTTGGCAACGCCTTGAGTTTTATACGGCGTTCTTCCTTAGCACGGCAGAACAGCATATAAGTAAAGTCCACGCTAAATAAGTTTACGCTACCTACTAGTTCTGTTTTTGGACTGCGACAGAGGATGAACCTAACCATCTTGATTCTTGCATTTTCTTCACATGTAAAAGTGACCTTTGACGATCTTCTGCCGTAGCCTAGAAGTGCGTGAACTTATTTGGCGTAAACTCTAAAATCGTATCGAACAATGGCGTCATGAATGAGTTGGCATCATGTGCCGTTTAATTCAAGACAAATGATGACTTAAAACACAAACACCACTTGAGATCGGTAACATTAAGCAATGCTATGTAGAGAACGCAGAGAATGCATGATATGAGGCGCTATAGTATTAAAGGGTCACGTCAGAGGATTTACAATACAGGGATTAAAGTTACCTACGATTGTTACGCAACACATTGGTAAAAGGAAGAGCATTCCAATGTCGCTAACCTTGCAAACATAAACGATCATCTAAACTAGTTTCACCTCTAAATAAACTATGAATTCAAGACGAAAATTACCGTCGCAAAGTTTACTTTTTGCAAAGAATGTACCATTGTACCTAAGTGGCACAATCCCAGCAACATTGAAATGCTCTTAGTTCCTCTTTGCAAAATGCGATCCAATTGGTTGTTGGTGCAAAAAAAAATAGTTTCCCACAACCTGCTATACAATGCTCCAGTAACCATGTAAGTTGGCCCGAGCACTAACTTTTCGGGAAGAAAGCCTTTCCCCTAGGTACCTGGTTTCTCACTTAATATCCGCCCGAGTTTCGTATATCTTCAGTTCCTCCTCATCGCAGCTTCCATCAAACCGCAATTGCCCGGAAACTAGGACCGCACATCTTATCTGATAAAATCGTTCGCCCTTTAGACCGATTCTGGGGGGTTAGGCTGGACTAGTCGATGAGTCAACTGTTGATCTAATTTCATTACGTGAAAGTAGAAGAAAAACGGGGTAAAAAATCACTTATGTGTGATCAATTTTGAAGGACAATTCTGTAATTTCTTTAACGATTTTAAATAGATTAAAACGCGTAATTTCCAAAGTCTAAGCTCAGATTCGGATTTCTCGTGAAAAACTGATGCCATTTCATGCATCAAATTTTAGAATAGCGTGAAGGAAAGAGGTTTAATGACGTAAAAAAACACTAATGTGTGATCAATTTTCAAGGACAATTCTGTAATTTCTCTTACGATTTTAAATAGATTAAAACGCGTAATATCGAAAATCTAAGCTCAGATTCGGATTCCTCGTGAAAAATTGATGAGATTTCATGTATAATATGTTAGAATAGCGTGAAGGAAAAAGGTTTAGCGACGCGTATAGATTCTGTCGTACTACCCGTTTGAACTACGCCGCCGCGCGGGTCGCCCGAGTGAAACCGAACGGAGAGGCGCCGGCCGGCGCTATGAGCATTCGGTTTCGTCCCGAGGAATTCCTCACGATAAATTCTTATTCTTCCTCCTCCGCTGACCCACTGAGCACTACCCATGTTGCCACGTTGGATTCATATGCTCGAATCAGTATGTCTACGTTACGTCTCTTTCCTTCACGCTATGCTCGGGTATGATACATGAAATTGTATCAATTTTTAACGAAGAATCCGAATCTGAACTTCGATTTTGGGTATCACGCGTTTTAAGTCAAATTTTCCAAATTCGAAAATCTGAAATGACTGACGTGGCTTAAAATGCCATCTCGGCTCCTGTTCGATGGATTTTCCTGAAATTCGGTATCAGGGTATGATACATGAAATCGCATCGATTTTTTACGAGGAATCCGAATCTGAATATCGATTTTGGGTATCATGCGTTTTAAATAAAATTTTTCAACTTCAAAAATCCAAAATGACTGAAGTGGCTTAAAATGCCATCTCGGCTCCTGTTTGATGGATTCTCCTGAAATTCGGTGTCAGGGTATGATACACGAAATAGCATCGATTTTTTACGAGGAATCCGAATCTGAGCTTCGATTTTGGGGATCACGCGTTTTAAATCAAAAGCTGTCAAAATTCAAAAAATTCAAAATTCGAAAATCCGAAATGGCTTAAAATGCTATCTTGGCCCCTGTTCGATGGATTTTTCTGAAATTCGGTGTCTGGAGGTATTTTTCGACGGGAAACTCGAATTTTTAGTCCATTTTTGAAAATTCTCAAATTCAAGATGGCGGACGTGGGCTAAAATGCTATCTCGGTTCCTGTTTGTTCGAGTCTTGTGAAACGCGGTATCACACGGTATTTTTCAACGGAAAACTCGAATTATTAGTCAATTTTTTAAAACTCTCAACTCCAAAATGTTGGATGTGGCCTAAAATGAGCCCCGGTTCTGGCCTCCGTTTCTGTTCGTTAGAGCTTTGTGAACCGCGGGATCAGGGGTACTTTTCAACGGGAAACTCGAATTTTTAGTCGATTTTTGAAAATTCTCAAATCCAAGATGGCGGACGGGGCCTAAAATGCTATGTCGGCTCCTGTTCGATGGATTTTTTTGAAACTCGGTGTCTGGG